GCAAAAATATCACGCCTACCAGCCAATTGGCAGATATCTCCCAACTGAGCCATGCTCTCTACCTCTTTCAGTCTAGAGATCCGAACATCACCAGCATAGCGCATGGGGCACTCGAGGGAGTGGTGACGAAACGTATCGGTAGAGTCCCTTCCCCAGAGGATCTGTGCAGCTATCTTAATGGTTCTATGGAGGATGTATTTGGTCTCCCAAGTAAGGAAATCTCCTCCACTTGGACAAGACTTAGAATGGCGACCCGGCATCTGAAAAAATACATAAATTTCAGTTGGACAGTAGGACCTGATGACATCCCGGTCATAACGGCCGAAAACAAATTGCTATGTGCCAATATCTGTCAACAGACCCTCAGTGGTCTTCTGAGAATTTACCATCTGCAAAAGCTTGTTGCAAAGCCGGACCAGGGGAAGGCCTTTGGGGTCACTGCGGCTAGTGATTTTAGTAACCACTTTATCAACAATGGCAAGTTTACTCGCTTTGCCGATTGGTTTTTGTGCACCGTGCCAGACTGAGTGTAATGGCCCTCCGCGGTCACAAAAGGTTTGGTAATGAAACCAAAAGGTGCAGGAGATGTGGTTACACCCGCGAAACTTTGGCCCACGTGCTATGTCACTGCCCCCCAAACTTCCATCTTATTACCCGGCACCATAATGCCATTCTACAACGCATTGTCACCGCTTTTCAACCAAAGGACACAACAGTTCTGGTCAATCAAAGGGTACCAGGATTTGAGGTAAACTGCAGGCCAGACATGGTAGTGATTCACGAACCCTCTAAAACAGCTACCATTGTCGATGTGACAGTACCGTTTGAAAACAGGCCTACTGCCTTCCAGTCAGCCCGAGACGAAAAACTCCAGAAGTACAACACCCTGGTCCAACACTTCTGTCAGAAGAGGTACAACACGCACATAAGTGCCTTTATCATAGGAGCGTTCGGAGGTTACGACCACGCAAACGAGGAGACCCTACAACGACTGGGCATCAGCAGACGGTACACAAAACTTATGAAGCAGCTGATGGTCAGCGACACAATCCGGTGGAGCTGCAATATATACAAGCGTCACCTAGGTTACCAGCGACAGCAAGAAGCCCCACAACACCAACAACGGTAATTTGTAACTTCTCCAATCCCTGTCGTATGTACATTTTGGCTGGCATATGTGCCCATGTTTGCGCACTTTGTATATATAGATACACGCGATCTTTGGTTGGCATATACGCCCATGTAAACGCGCTATAACTATATATGTTTGCGTACACTTTGGTTGGCACACAAGCCCATGTTTGCGATCATCTACTACTGTAAATCTAAACAAGCTGGCATACGAGCCCATGTTCGCGATACACTCATTACCCACATTATCTGGGTACTCTTGTATTCATCTCGCCTAAATATCCCTTACTGTAAATATTTTTAAATTCTTAATAAAGGCTTTTAAATCTGTTTCCAATTTGGTAAGTATATCTTAGTCTCACGTCTATTTTGCTTTCCTATAACCTTCTAACTTCTGCCAAGAGATCTGCCTGCACGGTTGAAACACATCGTGTATTCGCGGATCAATTGGCAAAACTTTCGCTATCAAGGGGTGAGCAGTTTACTGCGACCCCCCACCAGTCTTTTCTCCCCCCTTCAATCTTCCCCCACACCATTTCTTGGGTTCTTCCCCAGGTGGCTTCTCTCGTTTTACTTTCTTCACTACCTTTTCCTGCCTCCTTCCTTTTGATCTTGGCCGGCCGAGACTGCGTTTTTCCTCGCCTCTTACAGGCAACCAGTCACTGGGATTACAGTTATCTTTATTAAGTAGTGCGTGCCTCTGCTGTTGTGATTGTGAACCGCGGGGTTTTCCACCCATTTGTGTGTGTGTGTGTGTTCCTTACCATAGTGGATACTGCTTTTTGTCAGCATGGATACCCCAAGTACATCATGCACGTATGCACAGGCCACGTCGGCCCCCTTGTGGTCCATTTGGCTCCAGACCCGGACGGTGAATTTACGGATGCAGTTCCTGTGGTGTCGCCACGCCCACCATCGCCTCAAACTGTCGACCCGCAAGACAATCAGGAGCAACCAAACTCTATGGACATGGACCCGGATATGGTGCTAAATGAAGAAAAACTGGAACAATATACAACAGTACGTTCAATCAGGATTGCTGCAAAAGGACGAGTCCAGATGATGGATATTATAACAGCATGCGAGGACATATAGGACATTTGGGAGAAGTTGAACAGGTCTGCTACAAACCAAACAACCTGATTGAAGTTGGTCTAACAACGGTGGAGGTGAAAGAAAAAACTAATCGGACATACGCTAAAGGTAGGAGGTTCTGATATTGTTTGCGAAAGCCTCGACGAGGACCTTCTTATGGTCACTGTTAGGTTTGTACCTAATGAGGCGGACAAGAGATAGTTAAGAGCGTTCTATCGGTATACGGGAAAGTCAGTAAGGTACTGGTTCACACTGTTACAGTAAACAACAGAAAATTTAAAACAGGTACTTATAGGGTACTAATAAAAACGAGAAAGCTCCTTCCTAACTTTATAGAGATTCTGGGAAGCAAGGTTGAGTTACAATACATGGGGAGAAAAAAGCAATGTTGGCGCTGTGGGAGCCTGACCCACGAAATAAAAGATTGCACTATGAAACTATGTCACAGATGCAAAAGCCCCCACCACCTCATAAGAGACTGCCCCAATTGCTATAATTGTGGCCAAATACATAGTAGAGAGGAGAGATGCCCGGAACCAACAAAAGACGAAATCTATAGATCAGGAGGAAGAAACAAAATAAAAGCTAGGAAAAGGGAAAAAAGCCTAGAGAGAATAAAAATACAACAAGAGAAAGAGAGGGAGGGTAAAGAGAATGAAGGCACACAAGAAAAGAGTGTCGATAACCAAACACCTGATGAAAACCAGGAAAGTAAAAATAAAAAAGAGATAACAGATAGTCAGGAAAATGATGAGGTCCAGATAGTAACAAATAGTCAAAACGATAATATTGATCTTACTAATAAAGATGAAAGTGTAGAAGAGAAAATAGAAGAACATAAGAATGCCGCGGTTGTAAGAGAGAAAATACTCTCAATAAGTCTTGACGCGAGCCTTACTAAAAATGAGTTAATAGAGAAAGTAGAAAAGGTCATAACCGTCGCAGATAAAAAGAAGTTAAGAAAGAGCAAAAGAATAACTGCGCAAACAAGTAACAATATTCAGACCCAATAAAATCAATATAAAATCCCTTAATATATCGGAAATGAGAGATGAGGCTAAACAGATATATCTACTCGACCTTACGTTAACAGACAACACAGACATTCTTATGCTACAAGACACCAACTGTTATGACTTCTACGACTTAAGGAAATTAAGAAAAATCTTTATCAACTATAACATCTACATATCCTTCGCCCCTAGGAGAGGCTCCGGCGTCATTACGATGGTTCGGAAATACATCAAAATAAATGACTTTAGAACAGATACGAACGGGAGAATCCTTTCTGTGGACATCAACTTTAATAGTAAATTACTAAGGATAATCAACATCTATGCTCCTCCCCAGCTTGCTGATCATAAAGCCCTTTTTAATTGTCTTCCCAACTACATAATCGGGGGAAGGGACTTCATTATAGGAAAGGACTTTAATTGCGTTCTAAATCAAAAAGACAAAAACATTTGCCTTCACCCAGATGGTTCTCGTGATATCCTAAAAGACTTTATTGAAAGCTACGACCTCAAAGACGCTTTTCGTATGCTCTACCCTCAAGCGGAGGATTACACCTGGGAAGGTAGGGGTATCAAAGAACGTCTTGACAGAATTTACCTCAGTAGAGATGCAGGCAAAACTGAATGCTTCAATAGCTGCCAACTAACTAACTATGGAAAAAACTATCCGATCACAAGCTCATAAGCTTGACCTTAACTTCCGATATCAAAAAAAGACGTACTAATAAAGTTAAGATAAATAACACCATCCTCTTCGACACTGCCTACCAGCAAGAGCTTAAAAACACCCTCGATGAGTTAAAAACAAACGTCACATGGCAGACCTGGAAGATAACTAAAAGTAAAATCATAGACATTACTAACAAAACATGGCTAAGAATAAAAAAATAATTTTAATAGACTGAAAAAACTACAAAGACAGCTTAGCAACAAAATCATTAGGAACCATAAAGAAGAGGCAAAACAGATTGAACAAGAAATTAGTAAAGAAATGGAAGATAGGATTAAGGAAAACTACATGAACCACAGGATGAGCAGGCTAGGGATAGAGAGGTTCGCGGAAAAGATACTATTAAAAAAAAAACCGAAACCGGAAGAGTCAGCAGCGATAAACAGCCTAATAATCAACGGCACCCAAACGGATGATGAAGACAAAATCATAAATGAATTCCGTATTTCTACAACAACTTATATCAAAAGCCTAATACAAAGTGGGATCAATGGAAAAGTATAAAAAAAGAAATCAAGTCAGCAAAAAATGAAAATGATAACATAATCAATAGGGAAATCACAAAGAAAGACATCAGCAATGCAATAGAAGAGCTAAATACTAGAAAAGCCCCTGGGATAGACGGTCTCCCAGCGGAAATTTACAAATACTTTAAGGATGACATGACCGAAATCCTCTACAAACTCTATAATAACGAAATCAACAACACGGATTTTAGCCTAGGCAAGATGAATCTGATCAACAAGAAGGGCAGCATCACCGGTCAAGTAGGCGACTACAGACCTATTACCATATTGAATACTGATTACAAAATCTACAGTATAATCATCGCAACAAGACTAGAGGGTATCATTCGTAACTATGTTGGCTCAACACAAACAGCAGGTATAAAAGGTCGCACCATCCAAGACAACACGATGTTTATCAACTTAATACAAGATATCTACACCAAAAGGAAGGCACCTCTCTCTATCCTCACTGTTGACGTAGAGAAGGCCTTCGATACGGTCAACAGGGAGATCTTGTAGCGCATGTTAGCCTGCCTAGGTCTAAACGAAAAGGAAATCAACAAAATTAAGTATCTCTATATTAACCCCAAGACAAAGATAGTTATCAATGGAAAAGAGTCGGAATATATCAAGTGTGAAGCGGGAGTAAGGCAAGGCTACCCAAGTTCCATGGTCCTCTTCACGATATACATAGAGGGACTACTTAACCTAATTAATAATGACAACCTGATCACTCCCATATATATTCCAGGTGTTAGCAAGAAGATCAAATATGCGGCGCATGCCGATGATATCAACTTCTTCATCAACGACAACGTATCTCTAAATAGAATTACCCTATCACTCAATAAATTCTGTGACACCACTGGTATGAAAATAAATAAAAATAAAAGTAGCATTATTAAAGTTTACGGCCACAACAACATAGATAGCTTAACGTTCAAAGTGACTAACAATAAAAAGATACTAGGAATATGGTATGGGAAGGATAAAAACAAGAATAACATGAAAGAGATGAAGTCCAAACTAGAAAAAGCAATAGAAAATTGGGAAAAAATTTGGCTTTACCTGCCAGAACACACGATAATTGTAAACAAAGTACTATTTGCTAAAATAATGTACACCCTCTACACCACCAATTTAGATAAAAAAGAAATCAAAATAATAGAAAAACTAATCTTTAAATACATCTGGACAAAAGACTTTGAGCCACTAAAGAGAGGCATAATGAAGAATGAAATCGATCAAGGAGGGTGGCGAATATGGGATGTCAAAACGTTAGAACAAGCATTACAACTATCCAACCTGATTAACGCAATCCTTCAAAAGCAACATCCTCTCGAGGACCTAGCTATCTACATCCTTGGACCCATCACTAAACATCTGTCCAATGAACTAACAAATAGACCGTTCCTGCTCGACAATAGCAACCATTACAGCCAATGGAGATCCACGATTAAAAGTCTAATAACAACTAATATAACTATAGACAAGTTAAAACCCAGTATAATATACAGAAGTAACCATCCTCAACATCACAATCCCAATCTCGTAGACAACTCTGTTGAATGGAAAGAATGCTGGATCAACGTGAGCAGGCTCCCACCGGAATGGAAGGAGACCACGTGGCGCATCATAAACAATGTTACAATGACAAAAGAGTACCTGCACAATTATCACCTTCTAAGAAGTGCCAAGTGTCCGCGCTGCACCAGAGACGAAAGTACCTACCATTTATTTTATGAATGTTCCACCGCTTACCGCACGTGGACCTGGTTTAATAACATCTTTAATATTACTCTAAACTGGAAGAACATCATGTACCACTCTGACTTCCCTAGTACCAATTACAACATCTATAGTCTTAACTGGATGGTAGCTCTCATAAAGAGAACTATCTGGAAAGCAAGGTGCGCTCTCCTCTTCGAAAATAAAAAATGGAACCCCGCCGTGTGTATAAAAAAGATCAAGGAAGAAGCCAACCTAAAAATACAAAATGACATCAAACTCCTTACTGAAAAGGACTTCAATCAACTCTACCACGGGACTTTCAATGTCATCTGGAAAGAAGAAACCACCCGATATATATTCAGCGATGACTGGACTTAGCTAAATTTAATCAAGCAGTGACCTGTGTGTGAACTGTCTACGCACTACCCCCCTTGCCAGTAGTGCCATCTATGAACCAATGTAATAGAATGTATTTTTGTAGTAACCTGTATACAAATTTTCTACTAGCTGTAGCATACTTCTATGTAATAATGTATTAATCATATCTGTACTATTATCATTCACGATGGTTGTAACGTACAAGTCTCCAGCATATTGTTCGATAGCCACAAATACTCATTTATGTATATATTTGTATATATCTTATATTTAACCTTATAAGGGTATTGTGGCTAATTATCATTGTAAAAATAACTCTGCTGTAAGTGTAACATCATCATGACGCTACTTCTATGTACTTGCTTTTTTGATAATTAATAAACTTTAATTAAAAGTAAAAGTATCTTTGGTAAGTAATTCGTTTTATTGACCTTTTCACTATTCTAATACCTTCTCACTTCCGCCAAGCGATCTGCCTGCACGATTGAAACACATTGTGTATTCGCGGATCAATTGGCAACACTGTTGCTATCTAAGGGGAGAGCAGCTCGCTGCTACCCCCTGCTCCATTTCCCTCCCTTTCTTCTTTTTCTTCCCCCCTTCTTGGGATCTTCACCCAATGGTTATCTCTGACTCCTTTGATTCGGCTCCCTCTTTTGATCTTAGCCAGTCAAGACTGCGTTTATTACTGCGCCTGCTAGTTTGGCATGTGCCCTGTGTTCATCTACGTTGCTCTGGTGGATACATTTGGATACTAGTGTTTGTGTTCTGTGTGTTTTGTCTTGCTTCCTGGTCATCATCTCCTGTGTTGTGTGTGTAGTGTCTCCAGGCATTTTCCTGCGTGTTAATGTCAGTGCCGCATCTTATCCGTGTCACAATGGATAACCAGCAGTCAACACCGACCTATGCCCAAGCAACCAAGGGACGTCCAGACTTGGCGGAACTTGAATGTGATTAACCATATCTAAGTGAGAGTAATAACACCTTTCTAGAAGGATCTCCGGTGAGGGTTCCCACACCCACGAATGCTGACCATCACTATGACCCAGCAGATCAACAGGAAAAAGAACCCCTTATAGACTCTGATGAACTTATAGAGAGATATACGACAAAACGAACAATCCGCTTCACGGCAAATGAAAAACTGTCCAGTCCAGAAGTCATCGAAGCGTGCGAGAACATTATCGGGGACGATGGATTTGTCAAGCAAGTTTGCTTTAAATACCCAAACATAGTGGAAGTTGGACTCACTACCCTTAAAGCTAAGGATAAACTGATGGGACATAATATAAAGGTAAGAGATTTATATTACCTTTGTGAAAGTCTTGATGAAAACCTTCTTACCGTGACCTTACGTTATGTACCAAGTGAGGCAGATAATGATATAGTGAGGGGTGCACTATCGCGATACGGCAATGTCCTAAAAGTGCTCGTTAATACTAACACTTATAAGGGGAGAAAAATCAAAACAGGGATTTACAGAGTTATTTTAAAAACAAGGAAAGTTATACCGCATAACATAGAGATACTAGGAGATAAAGTTGAATTACATTATGCTGGTAAAAAGAAGCAATGTTGACGGTGCAGAAGCCCCCAACATGAAATAAAGGATTGTCAAATCAGGTTGTGTTATCGCTGCAAAAGCCCAAATCACCTGATCAAAAACTGTCCACTCTGTTAGAATTGTAAACAGGAACATAATAGAAATGAGCAATGCCCCAAATTATCCTACGTAGAATTATGTAAATATAGTGGTAGGGACAAAAATAAGCAAAAAAGGAGGGAGATAAGCTTAGAAAGAATAAAGACACAAGAACAAAATGAAAAAGATTTAGTAACAGAGGATAACAAAGAGGAAAACAACAAAATTGAGGAGACCCAATATAATGGGGAAGAACAAAAAATAAATAGCAACAACAAAAAAAAGAGTATCTTAAAAAAAAAGGATGAAAGTAATAATGAAATAGAAAAGACACAAAATAGAGAAATAAATGAAATAACTGAGTCAAATAAAAATACAATCGAAGAAAGAATAGAAGAGGATGATAGGGCAACATCAGTCAGAGAGAAAATACTATCAATTAGCCTCGATGCCAGCCTAACTGGCAAAGAAATTATAGAAAAAGTAGAAAAAGTAATCACAAAAGTTGAGAAAAGAGGCACTAGAAAAAGCAAAAGAATAGAGGGGCAAGCAACTAATCAATAAATTCGCGTCTACAACTATAAATATAAAAACCATCAACATCACTGGGTTTAGAGACGAAAAAAAGCAAATATGCATCCTTAATCTTCTTAGCACAAATAAGACTGATATTCTATGTATACAAGACACAAATATCTATGACTTCTGGGACCTTAGAAATCTAAGGAAAGTATTTCCTCAATACAACATTTATTCAGCCTTTGCCACTAGGAGAAGCTCAGGAGTTATTACAATGATAAAAAGAATTTAAAAGTTAACGACTTTAAAACTGACGCAAATGGGAGAATACTAGCAGTGGACTTTGAGGTTAATAATAATCTGATGAAAATAATCAATATCTATGCACCACCCCAAGTTACCAGTAGAAAGGACCTATTTAACACACTGCCAAACTATTTTCTGGGAGGAAGACAAATAATTATAGCAGGCGACTTCAACTGTGTTATCGGTCAAATTGACAAAAATGGCCCAATCTTCCCAGACGGCTCTAGAAAAATATTAAAAGACATTATTACTAGCCATGAGTTTAGTGACACATACAGATACATATATCCTGATCACCCTGGCTACACATGGGAGGGGAGAGGAATATGTGAAAGATTGGACAGAATTTACCTGAGTAATAAAATCAACAACATAAAAGACATTCAAACCTGGACCTCGATGAATAATAATGAGAAAATAACTGACCACAAAATGCTAAATCTACAACTTATAATAGAGACTCCCAAAAAAAGACAGACAAAAATAAAACTATCAACTGAAATCCTTATCAACGAAGACTTCCAAACCAACGTCATAAACATCCTCAACAAAAATAAAGTCAATACTAGTTGGGAACAATGGGAATATGATAAAAAAGAGATCAATAAAATAATAAAAAATACATGGCTAAACATTAAAAAAAAATTTTAATAGAACAAAACAACTTCAAAGAAAATTAAGCTATCAAATTTTTAAAAATAACAATGAAGAGATCAATAAGCTGGAAAAAGAAATAACTGAGGAAAGAGAAAATAAAATCAAAGAAAACTATATTAATTACAAAATAAACAAATTAGGAATTAAAAGAACAGCAGAAAACATCATCTTCAAAAAGAAAAACAAAGCAAAAGAGACCCTGGATCTAAACCATCTAATAATCAAGAACCAAATCATCACAGATGAATCTGTCATAATCAAAGAATTTCAGAACTTTTACAACAATCTGTACAAAAAACAGAACACAGATAGAAAGCTTTGGAATGAAATAAGTAAAAACATCATCCCAGTAAAAGATACAGAAAATAATATAATCAACAAGGTAATAACTAAAGAAGAAATTAACAAAGCAATTGACAGCCTACACATTAGAAAAGCCCCTGGAGAAGATGGACTTCCAGCTGAATTTTATCGCTTCTTTAAACAAATCATCACAGAAATACTTGAAAAACTATATAACGAAAAAAGCTGTAGCAAAAATTTCAACAAAGGTACAATAAAACTTATAAATAAAAAAGGCAACCAAGGAGGACAAATGGGCGACTACAGACCCATTACCCTGTTAAACATAGACTACAAAACCTATAGTCACATCATAGCCAATAGAATTGAACAGCTCTTCCAGAACCATATCAGTAACACCCAAAGTGCAGGTATTAAAAAGAGAACGATCCAGAATAACATTATGTATCTAAACCTCATACAAGAAATTTATACAAAAAGAAAAGCCAACCTCGCTATACTATCCATAGATGTCGAAAAGGCGTTCGACACTGTAAATAGAGATCCTATGGGACATAATGAAAGCCTTCGGTGTCAATGATAGTGAGATTGACAAAATCCAACTTTTATACAGACTCCCCAAAACCTATGTCAATATCAACAATAACATATCTGAGACTATAAACTGTGAGGCGGGAGTCAGACAAGGCTGCCCGTGCTCAATGATACTCTTCAGCATTTACATCGAAGCTATGCTAATCATGATAAATGAAGATAAACACATACCACCCATTTATATTCCAGGTGCAAAAAGCAAAGTCAAATATGTCGCACATGCTGACGACATAAATTTCTTCATTACAGACAACATTGCAATCAACAGAATAAACCAAAAGCTAAATATCTTCTCTAATGTCACAGGCATGAAAATAAACACAGATAAAAGTAAAATCATTAACATCTTTGGTTCATTAAATCATAACAATAGTTCCTATAAAAATGTAAACAACATAAACATCTTGGGTGTATGGTATGGCAAGGACAAAAAACAGAAAAATTTAGAAAACATTACAAACAAAATCAAAGATGAAATTAAAAAATGGGAACATATATGGCTATATCTACCAGAGAGAGTCACCCTCACAAACAAAGTCCTCTTTGCAAAGGTAATATACAATCTTTACATCACTGATCTCAGCAAAAACGACCAAAAAATCATTGAAAAGATAATATTCAAGTTTATTTGGCAAAAGGACTTCGAGCCGCTGAAGAGAAATATAATGAAAAATAAAATAGAACAAGGTGGTTGGAAAATCTGGGATATTAAAGAGCTAGAAGTTGCTCTACAAGTAGCTAATATCCTGAACAACACTATTAATAAAAACCATCCAATTTGTGACATTATCTGTTACATCCTGGGCCCCACCATTAAACGCATCGATAACACAAAAGACAATAAGCCTTTCATAATCAACAGCAACAAGAAGTACAGAAACTGGAGAAAAATCATCAACACTTTTGCTGACAACAACAGTGATATAAACACAGCCAAATTTAAATGCAGACCAACACATATCTACAATATCATCCATCAACAGTGGCAGAATACAAATATAATGATCCAAATGTAAAGTGGAATAAAACCTGGGCCAACATCGCCAACCTTCCAGCAGAGTGGAAGGAGATTTCCTGGAGGCTGATAAACAACATCATCATGTCAAAAGACTACCTTCACACACACCAGCATATGAGAAGCACCTACTGTCCAAGATGCGGTAAAATAGAGAATTCTTTTCACATCTTTTATGAATGCCCCATCGCTACCCAAGTTTGGGCATAGATTAATAAAATTTTTAATACGAATATCAATTGGCATTGCATAAAGTATCACTATGACTTCCCTGTAAAAAACCAAAATCACTATTGTATTAACTGGATGATAGCACTCACAAAAAGAACTCTTTGGAAGGCAAGATGTGCTTTCATCTTCGAAAACAAGAGGTGGAATGCCACTCTTATTGCCAACAAAATTCGCGATGATGCATCCCTCAAACTACAAGCAGACAACAAGTTCTTCAGCGAAAGGGACTTCAACAATCTATACAAAGGTACTGCAAACACCATCTTCAAATATGACAACAAAAACTATATTTTGAACGATAAATGGCATTAATGCCATTACTGTACTGTCTATCATTTTATATTGCTACTATCTGTCCGTAACAACCCTCAGCATAATAATGTATTTCTAATATAAATGTTTTATGATCACTATTCAAGCTTAGCCGAGACTAATCTCTGTTGTAACCACTAATGTAAAACGTTTGCAAGAAATCAATTGTCGCGCTTTCTCTTTTTGTTACTTTTCAACACTATTGTACAATGAATTTATCAATATATCCATTTCTTTAATGCAACTCGCATGTTAGATGTTTTCTCATCATCGTTACACTCTATCCGACAATTACTTCTGTACATTTTTTGTATAAACACTCCCTGTATATACGCGTTTCAAATTGTCGGTAGTAGTTCTGTGAATATCAACACTTGCCTGTGTATTTATCTGAAACCAATATATTGTAAGAATTATAAAAGATTGTAAAAATACAGCCTAAGTGCTGGAATATGTAACTACTGTTGAAGTATTTTAAATAAACTTTAATTAAAAAGTATTTGTTTTTATCACCAGGGTGGTGGTGAACTTTTGTGAGTAGTTACTGTTCATCATTTGTGAGCTTCTACAGCGTTTATTTCTACTAAATTTGTGTTATTTGGTTATCGGAGGAGTAGGAGAACAACATCCCGTCGAAATTTAGCGAAAATTAAATTATTTTTCGAGAAATTGCCATAAAGTGATCTTGGAGTGTCAACGATATTGAGTGTGTCTAGAGCGATAAAGAGACAATGTGAGTAGCTGTTTTTGATGTAAAATAGAATAGAGTGACTTTAGAACCGAAAGGAATAAACTACAATAAGTTTAAAGCTAAGAAACTTTATTTTTTTGACTTTTCTGGTGATACTCACCTGAACAGCTCCCGTGGGAAGGCGTGGCTTCGAGAAGTTTCTCTTCTAGTAGACTTGTATTGAGTTAGTTATACTTAAGAAGTTAATGGATGGAAGTAAGCACTCCATTAGTTAGAAAATTCTCCTCTATGGAGGCCCTAGGTGGAAGGGGAAGGTCTCCTTCCATCCACGATGGGTCGTCGGCTAGTTGTAGTTTCCGCCGTAGTCCCGACGCGGTTGCTCCCGGTCTGGAAGAATCAATGGATTTGATGCAACATGAACCGGCGGAGGAAGAAGAGGGAGAGGAAGAGGCTGAAAAAATAAATAAATATTCATCAATAAAATCAGTGCGGATCATCAGTCAAGAAAGAATAGACACGAATGAATTGATAAAGGTAGTGGAAGAGAAGTTAAAAACAACAGGAAGTGTGAGGCAAGTATGCTATCGTCCTAGAGGAGTAATAGTAATAGGTGTTTCTACAGTAGAAGAAAAAGAGAGACTTGTCGGTCAAGAAATTCAGGTGGAAGATAAAAATTATGTGATAGAAAGTTTAGAAACGGATTTAATTGTAGTTACTGTAAGATATATGCCTTACGAGGCAGACGAGAGTTTAATCAGAGAAATATTTTCGAAATTTGGTAAAATTGTAAATGTCTATATTGGGTTGTATTCCCAAACACAAGTGAGAACGGGTGTTGTTCGCGTGATTATAATAACAAGGAAAAGAATTCCTACCGTAATGGAGATGTTAGGGAGGAGAGTTCAGGTTTATTATGTTGGATGTAAAAAAGAGTGTTTCAAATGCGGTGATTTTGAACATGAAGCGAGAGAGTGCTCTATCAAGAAATGTTATAGATGCGGGGGCAAAATGCATCTAGTTAAAGACTGCAATGTCTGTTATAATTGTAGAAAAATACATGATAAAGGTGATAGGTGCCCGGTATTAACTTTCGCTGATATTTGTAAAATAGGTCCACGAAAACAGAGTCTGGAAAGGAGAAGGGAATGAAGTATAGAAAGATGGAAAAAGGAAAGGCAAAATGAGATAGAAAAAGAGGAACAGAGACAGAAAGAACAAGGAATGGAGGAGCTTTTGTCACCAGAGTTAGTAGTGGTTACAGAAAAGATAGATACAAGAGAAATAGTTAATAGCGGGAAAGTTAAAGGAATGGTAGAAAGAATGGAAAGGGCACCGGAACAAACACCGGAAGGTAAAAGAGGTAGAAAGCGAGGATCGAGTGTAGGAAAAAAACAGGTTAAGAGGGCAATAAAGCAGATGGAGCATGATCCAGACTTTCAAATGAAGCAGAGCGCTATACGAATGAATAAAGCGAAAATAGAATCTAGACAGCCATCTATATTTCCTTCGAATATAGAGAAAGCTAAAAAAATAGGTCAAACACAAGAAAAACAAGATAATGGCTGAACACCAAAGAATAATTATTCGTTTTGTTAATATTTCCGGTCTACGTGATGTTAGTAAACAAATTTATCTAGTTAATATGATGATTACAAATGAGATACATATTTTGGGTTTGCAAGACACAAATATTAAGGATATATATGATATTATAATGTTGAGAAAGATATTTACTCACTATAATATTTACGCTTCTTTTGCGACTAGAAAGAGTACTGGAACAATTTTGATGGTAAAGAAAAATATAAGTGTACAGGACTTTAAAACAGATAATAATGGACGTTTAATAGCAGTCGATATAAATGTTGGAGATCGGTTTTTTAGAATTTTAAGTATATATGCACCAACTCGAGTCTATGAGTGGAAGGATTTTTTTAGGAATTTAAGTGAGTTTTTAAGGGTCGGGAGAGAAATAATTTTAATGGGAGATTTTAATTGTGTATTAGATAATTTGGATAAAAACGGTCCCATCTTTTACGATGGGTCGCGGAATGTTTTAAGGGGTATTATTGATGATTTTAATTTATACGATGTTTTTAGGGAAATGTATGCGTGTTATCAGGGTTTTACATGGGAGGGACGTGGAGTAATGGAGAGGCTGGATCGCATATGTGTGTCTAAAAGTATTGATCAGGTGGAAAATATTATTTGTTACTCAGTACACACAGAACAGAGAAGGTTAACTGATCATAAGATGGTAGATGTAACAATTAAAATGAGTAAGAGAGATAGGAGAAAGAAAAGAGTTAAGATAACAAAGGAGATTTTAGATGATGAAGATTTTGTAAATAAGATAAGGGTAATGATAGAAAACAAGAAAGAGAATGTAAATTGGAAAGAATGGGTAGAAATAAAGGAAAAGATTTATAGAGAAATTGAAGAGGTATGGGATAGAAAGAAAAAAGAAAGGTTTGTTAAATTAAAAAGGTTACAAAGAGAATTAACAGATGCAATAATAAATAGAAAAGAAATAGAAATAAATAGAATAGAGAAAGAAATTATGAAAGAAATAGATCAGAAAAATAAGGAGAGTTATATATAGTATAAATTAAATAAGTATAGCATAAAAAGAGAAGCAGAAAAAGCCGTTTTTGAGAAAAAAGGTAAAATGAAAGAGTATTGATATAGAAAAAATTATTGACGTTGCGGTACCTTTCGAGAACGGATGTAATGCCTTCGACGTCGCCCGTAACACCAAGGTTAGCAAATGCTATGCCATCACACAGCACCTAAGGCAACAGGGCTATGACACGTACTGCAACGCCTTTATCTTAGGCTCGCTGGGAGGCTTCGATCTTGCAAACATCGCCGTCATCCAACGTCTTGGCATCAGTCGTAAATACGCTAAAATGATGACCAAGCTGATGGTGAGCGATTGTATCAAACGGAGCAGAGAGATCTACTGTAATCATCTCATATACGGCATACGCTCCTCCAACCATCAAGCCACCGCCCACCACAGGAACAACATACCTTCCCACTAGTACTATATCTGCAACCCCTGGACTATCGCGTCGCTCTCATCACGGCTGGCTACATGCCTCTCTCCGGGATCTCTCTCATCCCATTGTACATACCCCTATACTTGTTGTCGGATCACGGCTGGCTATGTGCCCATGGTCGGGATTACTCTTTCTGTTATTGTACATATTACCTCTGCCCTCCACTGTCGTATCACGGCTGGCTACGAGCCCATGGTCACGATTTGCATCATATGTAAATACCCACCCTCCACTGTAATATCTTGGCTGGCTATGAGCCCATGGATGCGATAATTATCACTCTTATGGCACATACCACTTGACTGTATTCAACCATTCTCCAAATTTAAAACCCTTGTATATTTTATTAGTCTTCAATAAAACATTTTCAAATCTGTTCTTATCAGCTTGATATCTGATACGGTTTCCATCGGAGACCTTCGATATTAACCTGATTTTTGGAATTGGGCGGGAAAGGGGGCTTGCTCCCTCCCCGCCGCGGGTTGCTCAGGCCTGGCACTATCGCCTGAGACAGCCCACCCCCCTTTGGGGAGAAAATAAAAATAAAAAATATAAAGAAAAAATTAAAAAAAAAAATTTTTTTTTCTTTTTACAGGTACATTTCCTTCACGGAAGATGCCAGATAAGCGATCACAGCTATAGGAAAACATATTCCAAGCATGGCAGAGCATGGAACAGAAATCTGGCGAATTGCAGAAGAAATGGTAAGAGGAAATGTGGAAAGCGAAATACCGCCATCGCCGCATAGTTCTGGCACGCTACGATGAAGAAGAGCGGTGCGATCTCGACCTTTCCGTGCTTTTGGTCAAAATCGCTAATCAGCGATTCGAAGTTATTGAAGAAAAATTAAATGTGCAATTTTTTCAGAGTGTGACTACTGTGGACAACATGCATGGCCTGCACGTAGAAACCCCAGGAAAGGTAAGCCTCACTCTATACATTGAAGTAATGAAGGAGCACGGCATTTTTCTAAAATAACGGATAAAACCGAATTGTTTCAAACTTATTGCATTGAATATATTGTAATATCGAATCGGCAAATATTCTACGTTAAATACAGAAATTTCTAATATATTTTGCAAGCGAAAAAATATTTAGCATCGAGATGCTATCGGTATTAGCACGATGCAACGCGGGTACGGACTGCGGCATAATTTCCTCCTGTGATGATTGGTGACCAACAGGAGTTTTATGCCGTTGTCAGGCGTCACCCATGCAAATCGTGATATTTCCTGTAGCCTTTTGCACCGTCACCTATCGTTTCCTGACGTTCTTTCGTGTGTATTAACGGATATTTGCCAAATGACATTACCTGGACACACCGCAGGTGTATTGTATGTCTCCACACTTGGCCTGTCGGCACCTTTGAGGTGTTTTTTATCGCTTCTCGGCCTTCTTGGCCAAGATTAAAGTGTGTTCTTTGTTCTTTATTTTGTGCCTTTTAGATCACTATTGGAAGTTGCTGTGTTGTGCTGTGGAACTGATACCTGATTTGGAAATGTCGAGTGGTTTGGATAAGTGAAGTGGATAGAAAGTTGTAGACTTGGTGCTTGGTGAGTGCTTTTTGAACTTTTTTGTTGCCGACTTGGTTGGTATGGACCGCCAGACGGGAAAATCCCTCCTGTCGGCAAGTCAAACTCGACCTCGATCTTTGGACCATACTGGGGGAAGTCCTGTTCCCCCGACGAGTCCTTCCCATCCTATGGACTGCCAGCTAGGTAGGATGGCCCCACCTGTAAGCCATTCCAGGCTTCCAGACCATCAGAGGGGAAGCCCTGTTCCCTCGACGAGTCGTTCCCGTCCACCAGAGAGTCAGACACCGTCGAGGAGTGGATCCCAGTCTTTGGATCGTTCGATGGAAAGTTCGGATCTGGTGTTAGAGGCAACTGAGCCCTTGGATCACCTGAGGGGTAATCCCGGTCCCTCGACGAGTTGGGCTGAAGATAGTGATGATCAGGGAGGAAGTGTAGTCCTCCCGACATGTCAAGTAAATTTAGTGCGAGTAACACATGGAGATGGCATTGGAAATGATGATTTTGGTGAAATGGTGACGAGTATATCTACTGGTGAGGGCGATGAAGCGAGTGAAGGAGTAACAGCCATTGGAAAAAGGAAAGAGAATATGATGCAAAAGGAAAAGGAGAAAATAAGGAAATATTCAGAAATTCAGTCAGTGCATATAAACTCTAAGGAACATTTAAATACAATGGAACTGATTGAAGTTATAGAAAACATTTTGGGAAAGAAAGAAACAGTGGAACAGATATGCTACCATCCGAGAAACATAGTTGAGATTGGACTAAAGACTGTAAACGATAAGATAAATCTTCTGGGACGTGAGATCAAGGTAGAAAATTTTGTTTATATATGTGAGAGTTTAGAGGCAGAATTGATACTTGTGACGGTTAGACTAGTTCCGGTTGAAGTAGATGAAATATTGTTATCGGAAATTTTGTCGGCTTACGGTAAAGTAGTTAATATTAAGGTTAATAAATATATGGGAACGAATGTGAAAATGGGAATATATAGAGTGTTGTTATCAACACATAAATGTATACCCAATTATATTGAAATCTTTGGAAAAAAGATTCAATTAATACATGTAGGCCAAAAGAAACAATGTAGACGATGTAATAGTTACGAACATGAAATAGCAAACTGTAATATAAAGTTGTGCCACAGATGTGGCGAAAGTACGCATCTAATTCGTGACTGTCCAGCGTGTTACTACTGTAAGACAATACATGATAGGGAAAAAGATTGTCCTGCTCCCTTTTTTGCAGAGATATGTAGGAGAAAGGGATTAAACCTGTGAAACAAATAAATGAAAATATTATAAATAAAATTATTACTAAAGATGAAATTCGAGATGCGATTCAGTCGTTAAAGAATAGTAAAGCTCCCGGCGATGACTTATTAACTAGTGAATTATACAAATTTTTTAGTGAAAACTTTACAGATTATTTATATACACTTTTTAATTATAGCCCTTTTGGCAGCAATTTTACTTACGGAAAGATGATTTTAATACATAAAAAGGATGATTCGGATAAAGTTGTCACTAATTTTAGACCTATAACTCTTTTAAACCTAGATTATAAGATTTTTAGTACCGTAATTGCTAAGAGACTTGAGGCACTCTTTCGTGATTGTATAGTGAGCACTCAAACAGCTGGTATAAAAGGAAGATCAATTCAAGACAATATTGTATTTTTGAGATTAATACAGGCAATTTATACAAAGAGAAAATCCCCACTCTCCATCCTCTCTGTAGATGTACAGAAAGCATTTGATACGGTAAATCGCGACGTGCTCTGGAGAATGTTAGAAAGTTATGGTTTAAATAAAGAAGAAATTGAACAAATTAAAAAGCTATACCATGCACCGAGCACCTTTATTTATGTAAATAGACAACGATCAAGGGATATTAAATGTGGAGCAGGGGCGAGACAGGGTTGCCCCTGCTCCATGATTTTGTTTACGATCTATATAAATGTACTTTTACAGAATGTATTAGATGATAAAAAGATTGAACCGATCTATATCCCTGATAATAAAATAATAACTAAGTTTTATGCACACGCTGATGATATAAACTTTTTGATGGTAGATAAAAAGAGTCAGGAAAGAATTATTGATACAATTCGGATGTTTAGTAAACTTACAGGTATGCGAATAAATGAAAATAAATCTAAGATTCTTAGTATTTACGGGGATATGGAATGTGAATCAATGAAAATACAGAAAGTTGATAATATGAAGGTGCTCGGTGTGTGGGTAGGAAAAGAGAGTAATAAAAATAATTTAGAAGATATGATTGATAAAATTAAAAATGTAATTGAAGATTGGAAAATCAATTGGTTATATCTTCCAGAGCGCGTCGTGATTATAATTAAAATTGCTATTGCATCTATTATATATATGTTATACTATACAAATTTGACGACTGATGATATTAAAAAAATAAATGCAGTTATTTACGAATATATTTGGATGAATACTTACGAACCCTAAAATAGAAAAATGATGACAAATGAGAGGAACAACGGGGGATGGAGAGTGTGGGAGATTAAAAGCCTAGAGAGCTCATTGCAAATTAGTCACATGATTAATGCCCTAAAGAAATATGATCATCCAGTGTGTTATCTAATTCAATATATACTAGGACCGACTGTTAAAAGAATTACTCAGGTGGGAGGTCAGTACCCCTTTTTAATAAATAATAATAAGAAATATAGAAACTAGAGGAAGATAATAAATGAGATAATGGATAGTCATGGGAGCATTATTCATAATGCAATTAAGATTCAACCCAAACTAATTTATGATATAATCCATAAACAGGAATTAAATTATATTATGATTAACTCTAGTATTAATTGGACACAGGTATGGAGAAATGTCAATGACCTCCCGCCTGAGTGGTTGAAACTCACCTGGAAAATGCTACTTAACATTGTTATGACTAAAGATTTCATAGCTACGTACCATCACGGTCGAGATGCCCGTTGCTTAAGATGTGGTAATAGAGAAACTATGATTCATTTATTCTTTGATTGCTGTCTGGCCCAACAAATATGGATGTGGTTTAATAAGATCTGGAAAACAAATATAACATGGAACAATATAAAATACTTTTTAGATTTTAAGACTAGAAATCCCAACCGTTACATGTTAATATGGATGATCGCATTAGTTAAAAGGATATTGTGGAACGCGAGATGTTGTCAGGTATATGAGAAACGTAGATGGAACGCAACGTTAATTGTGACCAAAATAAAAGAAGAAGCTGCATATAAGATAAAAAGTGACTTAAAGAACATGAGTGAGGGTGAATTTAATAGAAACTATAATGGAACTGATGTCATTTGGAAAATGACTAATAATTGTATTGTGTTTTGTGATGATTGAAATTTTGTTTAGTTTTAAAAGTTTTTTGGCACTTTTGCCTTTTTAAATGTTTGAATTTATTGTTATACATTTCATGTTCTGCTTAAAAATTGTTAAAGAGTTTATAATTCTATTTAAATTTATATTTATATTCTATGTTCTTGTTTAAATATGCATGTAGTTATTGTATTCGCTATTAACTGTTGTATTTCATTTTTAAATCTAGTGTGTTATTATAGTAACAAAATTTGTAAATAATATTTGTCTTTAATTTTCGGGTTTATAAATTATCATATTTTGAAATTATAACAATTTTATGAAATTTTAAAATTGTAATTAATACTGTAAATAACAATACTTACCATGTAATAATTATATATTGTCGGGATTATTTTGTGATTACTTTTTATGTTGTGTCGATACTTTATTAAGTTTGTATAAGGCCTAAATTGAAATATAAATAAATATCTTCATGGGTTTGGGTCGCAGGTAGGAATTTCGACCTGGTCGGTGTTGGTGATTATCGCTCCTCCTCCTCTGATTCTGGCACTGGCATATACATGTGATCGCTCCTGCATCTGTGAAGGAAATGTACTTGATTAGGCACACTTAATATATCTACAAATTTTGACACACAGTTCTTGTTATAGCAATTTTTTGTGTTTTTAGTGATTTTTCATCTTTTTGCCGACTTTCTCGGAAGTTTTTGGACTTTGGAAATTTGGAGTGCTTGGATGTTTACTGGAAGTTTTATTGCCTCTATTGGACATTTTAAGGTTTCTACAGCCCGTTTTGGTGAGTTTGTTTTAGTTTTTTTTGGAGTTCTACTGACTGTTTTAACACCTTGGCCGAGCGCCAACGTCGTTAGATGGAAGAGATTTCTCCGTCAGCGAGCGATTTTTCTCCTGGAGGGACCCTAGGTAGGCAGGATTCTCTTCTGTCTATCCACGATGGGTCAAGTCAGTGGTCGTCAGAGTCCCGATGCGGCCACAACCGATCCGGATGATGAGATGGAGGAACTACAGGAAACAGCACGAGAAACCAGGATGGAGGAAGAATCTGAAAAGATAAAGAGATATTCATCAATAACATCAGTAAGAATAATTAGTGAAGAAAAGATTGAGACTATGGAACTGATAAAAACGATAGAAGAAAAACTAAACAAGGCTACAAGTGTTAAACAAGTGTGTTACAAGCCTAGGGGAGTGATAAAAATTGGATTGTCAAGTGTTGGTGAAAAAGAAAAACTGGTTGGACAGGTGATAAAGGTGGAAGATAAATTTTATAATATAGAGTGTGTAGAAGTCAATTTAGTTGTAGTAACAATTCGATATGTACCGGTTGAGGCGGATGTAATGTTAATTAAGAAAGTAATGGGGAAATTTGGTAAAGTTGTTAATGTTCTTGTTAATCATCATCTGAACACTACTGTTAGAACAGGTGTATTTAGAGTGTCAATTATTACTCGGAATAGGATACCAACTACGATGAAGATTTTAGGGAGAAGAGTTATATTGTATTACGTAGGAGCAAGAAAGGAATGTTATAAGTGTAATAGTTTTGAACATGAGGCTAGAGAATGTATGATTAAATCATGTTACCGTTGTAATAGTACAGAACATTTAATTAAGGACTGTGACGCATGTTACAATTGTAAAAATAAACACAGTAAAGGGGAAGCTTGTCCTACGCCGTTATTTTCTGAAATCTGTAAAAAAGGTCCGAGGAAAGTTAGTTTAGAACGGAGGAGGGAGAGGAGTTTGGATAGGTGGAGACGAGAGAGGGAAAAGGAGAAAGAGGGAGAAATAGTTCAAAGAGAGAAAGAAATAACACAGAGTATAACTAAAGAACTAGTTGTAGTTGCGATGAGAATGGAGGAACAAGAAAGTGATAGAGGTGACAGAAGTGATAGAGAGGGTGAACAGAATAGAGTTAAACAAATGGTAAAAGAATATGAAGAGGGAAATGAATTAAAGGAAATGGAAACGAGAAGTAGTAGTATAAAGAGACGTAGTACAGGGGGAAAGAAACAACAGACAAAGAAAACGTTATTAGAAGTAGAGAAAGTAGGAGAAATGACAAAGGATCAGAAATTTAAAGAGGAAATGATCAAAAATTGGAGAAAAGCAAGGGATATAGCGTTGAGTGAGATGCAAAAGAGAACACAGAAATAACAAACAGATAATGGATAGTAAACTTATAAATATTAGATCTGTAAACATTTCGGGTATGCGGGACACAGGAAAGCAAATTTATCTGATGAATTTGGTTTTAACTAATCATATAGAAGTACTTGGGATCCAGGACACTAACATTAAAGATTTTGATGATATAAGAAAATTTAAGAAAGATTTTTGTACAATATAATATATATGCCTCATTTGCGATGCGGAAAAGTACAGGTGTATTATTATTAATTAAAAAAACGATTAAGGTACAGGATTTTTGTACTGATGTTGATGGGAGAATAATTGCGGTTGATGTTAGTATTGGAGATAGATTCTTTAGATTTATGAGCATATATGCGCCGACTCGGGCCTTTGAACAGAAAGAGTTTTTTAGATCTTTTACAGGGTTTTTAAGGGTAGGGAGGGATGTTATTATAATGGGAGATTTTAATTGTGTGTTAGATGTTTTAGATAAGAACGGTCCGATTAATTATGATAGGTCTAGGAATGTTTTAAGATGTATTATAGATGATTTTAAGTTATACGATGTTTTTAGAAGTTTTTATCCATTTTATTCAGGCTATACATGGAAGGGGCGTGGTGTGAAGGAGAGGCTGGATCGAGTATATGTATCTAAAACAATAAATAGTGTACTTGATATTAAGTGTTATGAAATTTATACAGAGCATAGAAGATTAACTAATCACAAAATGGTAGAAATGAATGTGAAAATAGGAAGAAAAGATAGAAGAGAAAAAAGGGTAAGAATAACGAAAGAAATATTAGAGAATGAAACCTTTGTTAGTAGAATGAAGGAAATGATTGATAATAGTAGGTACGATATAGATTGGGAGAGATGGGCAAAGTTAAAAGGGAATATAATTAGAGAAGCAGAGAAAGTATGGAGGAAAAATAAAAAGGAAAAATTTAATAAGATAAAAAGGTTACAAAGAAGTTTAACCCATTCGATTTTAAAAAATAATGAGAGTGAAATTGAGAGGATAGAGAGAGAAATTACGAGGGAACTTGATAATAAAAATAAGGAAAATTATATCCGATATAAAATGAATAGATGTAGTATAAAACGAGAGGCAGAGAAAGCAGTATTTGAAAAAAAGGGTAAAATGCGAGAGAATATAGATATAGAAAGGATTGTAGATGAGTTTGGTTGTAGGATAGAAAATACAAATGAGATAATAAAGAAGTTTCATTCTTACTATACTTACTTGTTTCAAGATATACAACTGGATGAACAGTTGGGTATGGAGATCTTAGCTAGTATAGAACCTGTAAAGGAGAAAACGCAAAATATAATTAATGCAGAAATAACAAAAGATGATATTAGAGAAGCAATCCAGTCTCTCCATACACACAAGGCACCAGGATGTGATAAAATTAATGCGGAATGTTTTAAATATTTTAATGAAAGTTTTATTGATGTATTATATAAACTTTACAATTTTAATGTTTTTAGTGACTTTTTTTGTCACGGAAAGATGGTTTTAATTGGGAAGAACGATAAAATGGATAAAGGGGTTTTACATTATAGACCTATTACTTTACTTAATATGGATTTTAAGGTTTATAGCATTGTGATGGCAAAAAGGCTCGAGTTGGTTTTTAAAAGTTACATTGGAAATACTCAAAGTGCGGGAGTTAAAAAAAGAAGGATACAAAACAATACGGTTTTTCTAAGACTTATACAAGAATATTATAAAGAGAGAAATGTAACATTGTCCCTCCTCTCCATTGATGTCAAGCATGCATTCGACACAGTCAATAGATATGCTTTGTGGAAATTCTTAAGTAATTATGGATTAAATGATAACGAAATCTGGTTTATTAAGCGGTTATATCAAGCCCCGAGTACATGTATTTATTTAAATGGTGAAATGTCTGAGGAAATAAAATGTAATATAGGGGTTAGGCAAGGGTGCCCCAGTTCGATGGCATTATTCACTATTTATATTGAGACGTTATTAAGAACAATTAAAAATGATAATCTTATCGAATCTATTTATATTCCTGGAATGAATGAAAAAGTCTCATATATAACACACGCAGACGATATCACGTTTCTACTGGTAAATAGTTTAAGTTTAAATAGAATTTTATTAAAATTAAATAATTTCTGTGAATTTACCGGTATGAAAATTAATAAAAACAAATGTAAAATTATGGATGTGGTTGGGAATATTAGTAGGTCACAAGGGGATATTGAATTGTAAATACTATGAAAGTGCTCGGGGTTTGGTTTGGTGAGAATGCTAATGATAAGAATTTAGATGAAATTAAAAGTAAAATAAAACTTGAGATTGAAGACTGGTCGAATATTTGGTTGTATATGCCTGAGAGAGTGCAGGTTATTAATAGAATTATAATACCAAAATTTATTTATAAACCATGTTACAAATTTGGATAAACAAAATATTAAAGAAATCGAGAGAGTTATTTATATGTATTTGTGGAATAGTAGTTTTGAACCAATGAGTAGAAAAATCATGAGGAACGACATCAATGAGGGAGGATGGGGGATGATCGATTTTAAAGATTTAGAATACTCCTTACAATTGAGTATAATGATAAATATACTAAGAGAAAAAACCATCCTTTGTTTTATTTGGTACAATATATATTAGGACCGATCTCCAAATATATTGCTGGATTGGATGAAGGATTCCCTTTTATAATATCGAATAAGAAAAAATATAAAAAATGGAGAGAGATATTGAGGAAAATTGTTAATGAACATAGTGGGGGAATTAATTTTGACAGGAAAATAAGACCTATGCAGATATATCGTTTAATTCATAGACAACATGTTAACAGAAATATGGAGAACACTAGTTTTGATTGGTCGAGAATTTGGAAAAATATTTTTAGTTTACCTGTCGAATATGTGGAAATATCTTGGAGAATCCTATCCAATGTGGTAATGAGTAAAGAATATCTTAGACTTTATCATAGAGTTCGTGACGAAAAATGTACAAGGTGTAAAGGGACGGAATCAATTATTCATATTTTTTACGAGTGTCCAATCGCAAGGGCAAGTTGGTCCTGGGTCTCAAGGGTTTGGAAAACGAATATAAGTTGGTATAATGTTAAATATCAGATAAATATTAATGTAAGGAACCAAAATGTATACCTAATAAATTGCTGTATAGCTCTTGTTAAGAGAATTTTGTGGAAATGTAGATGCCTTTTAACATTTGAGAGAAGGCTATGGAACGCGTCTCTTTTAATTGTAAAACTAAAGCAGGAATTGTGTTATAAAATAAGGAGTGACTTCGAAAAAATGTCGGTAAATGAGAGAAATATTTGCTATATATAGAGGGGCGGAAGCAATTTTCAAAGTTTATAATGATGAGATTAAATTTAATGATGATTGGTAATTTTAAATTGAATGTACTTACCTTGTATTTGTTGATTTGTGTTTTCAGCGATGTTGCTTTTTGTTTAAATCTAAAGGAAAAATTTATAATTGTAAATTTTCACCATTTTGGAATGTTTTATATATGAAATTGTACTTACCTATATTTCCCTTTGTTATTTTGTTTGATTGTCGGGTAACTAACAAAGTTTGTGAATTTTTGTTTTATGAATTATGTTTTTTACTTTAACACATTGTCGGTTTATGTATTATGTTAGTTTTTGATGTAAATACTGTGGTTAATTAATAAATGCACATTTTTCTCTTGCCTTTTCTTTGGCGGCCTGCGGGATATAACAGGCTGTCTCTGCAATGCTATCTTGGAACTTGTTTTGCTTGCTGTGAAGGAAATCTACCTGACATTGTTAGGGTTAGGCAAAATTCAAACTTTTATACCACTAGTATCTGTTCTTATCTCGCCAGTACTGGTGAGCTTTTGTGAGTAGTTCTTGTTAAACGATTCTGACTTTATTTTGTGACTTTTTTGATCGGATAAACGATATTTAGTGGTTTGGTGAGTTAGAGAAGAGTATCCTGTTGGATTTTTTGAAAAATTTTGGAATATTTTTTCGAACTTTATTGAAAACTGAAGTTGGAGTGTCTACACCGATTGTGTTACGAGAGATAAGGCGTAAAAGTGAGTGAAAATATCGATAATATTAAAAAATAGAGTGACTCTGTGATAGACTGTAGTAAAATAAATTAAGATTTAAAGTAAAAGACATTAAATTTCGAACGTTACTAGAGATAGTCTCTTAAACAGCTCCCATGAGGGGCGTGTTATAAGTGAAAGATCGTGATAGTGAAGTTTTATTACCTCTCTTGGACATTTTAACGCTCTACAACCCTTTGGGTGAAGTTATTTTAGTGTCTTATTGGGGCACAATTCTAGGACAAATGTAGCAAATTGGGACTTTGACAGAGCTGTAGAGCATATCGATAGGAACAAAAAAGTCAAAGGAACCATGGCCGTACGGGCGACCCTTCGCGAGATATAGGCCCCCCAAAAATGACTATGTGGAAAATTTGAGACCCTCAAAAATGGGGTAAAATTCAAAAGTGAAAATTTTCGGAACTAAATCTCGAAACTATGGCATTTTTTGCCGTTTTTTAGAACCTACTAGACACTCCCAAAACGTCCCAAAACACGAGGATCGGCACCTTTCGACCGCCACTTCCGGGGAGCGCCATGGGGATTCGCACCTCGCTCGCTTTCTCTCTGCTAAGCCTATTGCGTGTCTAACAGGCAGCAAGCCGTATTCTAACCACACTTTTATCGACAAAGACCAAAGAAAAGACCGATTATTACCGCTAATTCGGCAACGCTTTCTCCGCCGCCGCTCTATACCGAGCGCGCTTCTATTTCGCTATCTCTATCACATTCTAACTTCCGATGGAAAGAAAACAGATGCTGCTCACACCTAAACCGTGCACGATTTCATTTCTCTATCTCTATCACATTCTAACTGACGACGGAAAGAAAACAGATCCTCCACTCACCTTCAACAGCGTCTCCTCTTGGGTCTTCCGCGACGTCCTCTCGCTACCTGGCGACGCCTAGCTGGATCCTGATGTTGCGTAGGTGAGGACGGGGTGAGGCCGCTGGTCCCCGCCTCGGCTAGGTCCTGGGGGTCGATGACGAAGGTGGTGGTGGTGGTGGTGGTGCCCGATGTTATCTGAAAAGTCACATAATCCAGGATTCACATCCGCAAACAAGTATCCTTTGTTCACGCGCACTATACACAAGCTGTAATACTCACTGGGCGGTCGTCATCCCCCTGCCGTTCCTCTTCGTCGCCCTCGTGCACGGAAACATCGAAATATGGCTCGTCGGGCGGCAGATGTTCATCCGCGGGCACACTGATCGTCTGGAGTTGGAGACCCTGGCGACCGGGGCCCGGGTAGACGGCCACGATGTCCCCGATGAACTGCCGGAATTTCGCCGATGTTGTTGGCGACTGGGACAGGAACCGCGTCCTGTACACGTATGTGCAGGCGTAACTTTGCAGGCTCCTGTCCGTGCGGAGCGACTTTATGGACTTCTTCAGCCAGCGATTTCTACACTCGATGTTCTGAGTGTGGGCCTCGGGATCATCCGTGTCGACGAATCTGCACAGAAAAAACATAAATGTCGCGTCTCCATCACCCCGTTCATACCTTTCAATTAACACATAGCACACTTTAATCCTTCTCACCTCCCGGGTCCCTGCCGGCTGTGATTGACGATCTTATGTCCCGAGAAGCCCAAAGCCGTACAACCGCGATACTGGGCCGCGCTGTCGGAAACAATGATGGATTTTGGAGCGATGTATCTGAGCATGTGGCTCCACAGAACTCTTCTGCTTTTGTTGTCCACCTGAAATAATACGACAAAATATAACACCATTCCTGTAAAATGTGCAAATGTCTGCCGGACAGGGAACCTTCCTCGATAACAACAAATAAAAAGGAAATAATGTTTTGCTACCACTTACATGCCAGTACATCAGCTCTCTCGTTTCCCGACAGTAGGCACCAAATATAGTAATTTGTGTGCCTACACCTACGCGGCCGCGGTTGTATTTTCGCCTCCTGGTGAAGGTCTCATCGATCTGAAAACGAAATAACATTAATATAGACATAGACTTTTCGGCAAACTCTGAAACGTGCGCCGATCGTCACCTCGACGTGCATTCCTTCACCACCTAACTTGATGTCCTGATTTTGGGAGACGAAAACCTCCGCAACTTCCCGGCAGAAGTTGTACCAATCTACCGCTGTCGCGAGGGCCACCTCGCATTCCTCTGCGGCGATGGTGACCGGCTCCTGCTTGACCCACGAATAAATCAGCTTCAGCACCTGTAAAATACAGAGAAAACACATCTTGTACACATCGGTTTTCGTAAGCGGCACGAGCAAATTACAAAACGCTGAACGTAGCGTGATGGAGACAATACTGTAATTTCCGGTTAGCAGGGCTCCATCAACTGTACCAATACGTTAATCAAAATCGAACTTTTCCTATTCGCATGGCTTAGCCAAACATCACTTTAACCAATTATCAACTATTTACAAAGTAGCGGTTTCCAATCATTACGTTGACTGCTAACGTTGGTATACAGTGGCTAACGGAGAGAACGCTAACCGAAAAATACTGGACTGGGAAACCACCGCTTTTGTGACAAAGCGGCGGTTTCCCAGCCCCAGTTTCTCGTGATCGACTGCAATATCATACTTCTGTAGCTGAAAGCTTCGCTCGTTCGAAAAATGTATTGTGGGTACAAGACAGGCTACCGGTGCACAGGGCCCTCCGGACGGTGCCGCCTGTCCGTCGTCTAACTGTTCGTTGTTGATTCAGTTTTTCGCAGCGGTAGTAGAATCCGAACCTGTCAGGTGGAGCCGGTACCTTGCGCATATTGCCTCCGCACTTAGGGCACGGTGGCAAGGTACCGGTTAGGTCCGGATGCGGAACGAGCCCCACAAGATGACAAAACTTCTGGGCAGCCTCTTCGGTGGGGAGGTAGCGACTAAATGTGTAGGACCTAAGATGTTCAAAGATGTCAGCGGGATCCAAAACGGGAGACTCTAAAACAGCACACGTAAAAGGCATGTTGCGTAGTAAGAAAAAGTGGGTACGAAGGGCCTTAGGCAGCATACATGCTTATAAAACCTCGGGTGGCGGTGCCATGGTCACGTGACCCGCGGCCGACCGCCCATTGGCCGATCGACGGGTCCGCTCCCACTTCTCAATCAAGGGGAGCTGCATGCCTTGGCGCGCTGCATCTGTGCTTGACGGGGATGTCCGCCTGGAGGCCCCGTCATGCGCAGTGCGCTCCTCGGCCTAGCACGGCTCAAGTATGAGTTCCGAGTTGTTTCTGGCAGAGCAACCTGGCGGGCCGGTGAGGAGAGAATTGGATCGGCGCCTGCCGGGACCGGGGTTCGAGCCCCGGCTGAGGTGAGAGGTGTAAAATTAATAGATATTTGTATTTACAGGCAACAGATGGCGACTCCGGAAGGCTGCAGGCGGGAGAATTGGGCCGCGGGCCATATGCAAAGAGAGACGGCGGCGCCAGCGTGGATGGAAGGGAGAAAACGCGCGCGGGGGCCTAAGGAAGGGGGAGAGCACGGTTTTTTTTCAACACTGAGATGGGGAAAACAGAAAAAAAAAAAATTTCGCCCACGTGACGCCGTCCCTTTTGGGCTCGGCGTCACGTGACCGGATGTGACGTAGCGCATGTTTGGAGGCCTATATCTCGCTTAGGGTCGCCCGTACGGGCATGGTCCTTTTGACTTTTATGCTCGCACAGGGGGCTCTACAATTTGGGGGGGACGAAATTTTGCTACATTTGTCCTAGAATCTTGCCTCTTATTGGCGAATTTATTGATAATTTTTAAATATTTTGGCTGAAAGTCGAAAATCATTGGATGGGGGAGTTTTCCCCATCAACAAGTTCCTTTACTTCAATGGAGGCCCTAGATGGACAGGGTAGTCCCCTGCCTATCCACGATGGGCCGGAAATTCATCGTAAGAGTCCTTATGTGGCTGCAACCAATCTGGACAGGCGGATTGATGAAAGTCAAGAGATGGAGCGAGAGTCAACTGAAGTGGAGGAATCTGAAAAGATAAAGAAGTATTCATCAGTCAAGTCTGTTAGAATCATCAGTGAAGAGAAGATAGACACTATAGAATTAATAAAAGTGATAGAAGAAAAAATAAAGAAAGATAAAAGTGTTAAACAAGTGTGTTATAAACCAAGAGGAGTAGTGGAGATAGGAATGACAAGTGTAGAAGAAAAAGAGCAATTAGTCGGACAAGTTATAAAGGTGGGAGAAAAGTTTTATAATATAGAAAGTTTAGAGGCTGATTTAATAGTAGTAACGATGAGATATGTTCCGGTAGAGGTAGGTGTAGATTTGATTAAAGAGATAATGGGTAAATATGGAAAAATTGTAAATGTATTGATAAATAATCATCCAAATACTAGTGTTAGAACGGGCGTGTTTCGTGTATCTATTATTACTAGAAAAAGAATACCAACTATGATGGAAATTTTGGGAAGAAGGGTTTTCTTGTATTATGTGGGAGCTATGAAAACATGTTATAGGTGCGGAAGTTTCGATCATGAAATTAGAGATTGTGGAATTAAACCATGCTTTCGGTGTGGTAGTACGGAACACCTTGTAAAAAATTGTGATGCTTGTTACAATTGTAAAGTGAAACATAGCAAAGGGGAAGTTTGTCCTACACCATTGTTTTCGGAGATTTGTCAGAGGGGCCCGATAAAGATTAGTCTAGAAAGGAAAAGGGAGAGAAGTTTAGAAAGGTGGAAAAAAGAAAGAGAAAAGCAAAAAGAACAAAATATAATACAACAAGAGAAAGAAAATCCTATAGATTTAAATAGAGAATTATGGGTAGTAACTACAAGAGTAGAGGAATTGGGAAGTGAAAAGGGAGATGCTAGTAATAAGGAGATAGAACAAAGTATGGTCAGACAGAAGGTAAAAGAGTATAAGGGAGAGAGAGAACCAAGGGAGATAGAAAGAAGAACGAATAGTGTAAAGAGGCGAAATACAGGGGGAAGAAGACAGCAGGTAAAAAAGACAATATTAGAGCCAGAAATAGAAAAAGGGTAAATAGAGGGACAGAAAGATGACCGGAAACGTAAAGAAGAAATGATAAGGAATTGGGAAAAGGCAAGGAATATGGCAATAAGTGACAGGCAAAGGAGAGAACAGAAATAAGTTCGATAATGGATAGTAGAAAAATAAATATTTCTGGTTTGTGAGATATGGGAAAGCAAATATATTTAATGAATTTGGTTTTGACAAATAAAATAGACGTCCTCGGGATCCAGGACACTAACATAAGAGATTTTAATGACCTTAGAAAATTGCGAAGGGTATTTACGGAGTACAATATTTATGTATCGTTTGCAACGAGAAAAAGTACAGGTGTAATATTGTTAATAAGGAAGACACTTAAAGTGCAAGATTTTAGAACCGATATAAATGGTAGAATTGTCACGGCAGATATAAGTATTGGAGATCGGGGTTTTAGATTTTTAAGTTTATATGCGCCGACTCGAGCTTATGAACGGAAAGAATTTTTTAAGATTTTAACCGAGTTTTTAAGGGTGGGAAGGGAACTAATTATTATGGGTGATTTTAATTGTATTCTTGATGCTATAGATAAAAACGGTCCTTTTATATATGATGGCTCAAGGAACGTTTTACGGAGGGTTTTAGATGATTTTAATCTTTTTGATGATTTTAGGGGGTTTTATCCATGTTATCTGGGGTATACGTGGGAGGGTCGCGGGATAATGGAGAGACTGGATAGTATTTTTATGTCGAGAACTTTAGAAAAAATAAAAGAGGTAAGATGTTATAAGATAGAAACGGAAAGGAGAAAATTGACTGACCATAAAATGGTGGAAGTGAGTATAAAACTAGGAAAAAGAGAAAGGAAGGAAACAAGAGTTAAAATAACAAAAGAGATTTTGGAAGATGAAATGTTTATAAATAAGATAAAGGATAGGATTGATAGTAGTGTAGAAGGGATTAATTGAGAAGAATGGATAGAGATAAAAGAGGAAATTGTAGAAAAAATTAAGAAAGTATGGGATAAAAAGAAAAGAGAGAGGTTTATAAAAATAAAAAAATAACAAAGAGAATTAACTCAGGCAATATTACAGGAAAAAGAACAGGAAATTGAGAAAATAGAAAATGAGATGACAAAAGAAATAGATAAAAAAAATAAAGAGAATTATATTAGACACAAATTAAATAGATGTAGTATAAAAAGAGAGGCTGAGCGAATGGTATTTGAAAAGAAAGGAAAAATGAAAGAGAGTATACAGATAGAAAAGCTAATAGATGAATTTGGAAATACTATTAAAGACTCAGAAGAGATTATACAAAAGTTTCAATCATATTATACTTACCTGTTCCGTGATCCACAAATTGATGATTCTATTGGAAATGAAATTTATAATAGAATAAATCTTGTAAAAGATAAGATGCAGAATATTATAAATAAAGAAATCACGAGGAAAGAAATCGATGAAGCCATTCAGTCTCTCCATTTACACAAAGCACCGGGAAGGGATAGTATTAACGCAGAATTTTATAGGTTTTTCGGGAAAAGTTTTACAAATATTTTTTTACAAATTATACAATTTTAATAATTTTAGTGACACTTTTAGCCACGGTAGAATGGTTTTAATTAAGAAAAACGATAACATGGATAAGGGGGTAACAGATTTTAGACCGATTACTCTTTTAAATATTGATTTTAAAATTTATAGTAATATTATTGCAAAGAGGCTCAAGTCGGTTTTTAAAGATTTTATTGGAAATACTCAGAGCGCTGGAATGAAAAATAGACGTATACAAAATAATATAATGTTTCTAGATTTAATTCAAAATTATTATAAAGAAAGAAAGATGTCGTTGTCCATCCTTTCCATTGATGTTAATCGTGCATTTGATATTGTAAATAGAAGGGTTTTATGGAAATTTTTAGAATGTTATGGGCTAAATGAAAGTGAAATATGGTATATTAAGAGATTGTATCAGAGTCCAAGTACATATATACACAGAAGCGCCGCTAGCTGTTTGAACGCCCGTGTGCAATACCGATTATGCCGCCCCCGTTTAACTACGACTACCTACGCTGAGCTTGCCAGAAAGGTTCTTTAGTGTTGTCTCGTAAGGGTGTGAAAAAAGAAAAGATATACTTTACAAAAAAAAACTATTTATTTTTATTACTAAATTATTTTTGTTTACTTAGGTGTAAAATCATATAAATATTTACCTATAGAAATTGAACTCTTCTTGCCTTTATGTTTGCGAAATCTGCTATCAATTTTCTTGTATCCAAGCTGTCTAAAATTTCGTGTTCAATTGAAACTATAGCTA